AAAAAAAAAAAAGTGATTTTCCATGTTCACATATTTATGATTCCTTAAATTTGGATCATTCCATTTTTATTCACTGGGCGGGCTTTCTTATTTTAGCAAAAGAAAATACCCAACTGCCTAGTACAAATTGGCACTCAGTAAATATTTGTTGAATGAACAAAAGTAGATTCTTTTTTTTTTTTTTATAGCTCCTGATAGAGTGCCATGGTATCATAGCTTACAGCAACCTCCAACTCTTGGGCTTAAATAATTCTCTTGCCTTAGCCTCCCAAGTAGCTGAGACAACAGGAGCCTGCCACAACACCCAGCCATTTTTAGAGACAGGGTCTTGCTCTAGCTCAGGCTTGTCTTAAATTCGTGATCTCAGGCAGTCCACCTGCCTTGGAGTTATAGAGTGCTGGGATTACAGGCATGAGCCACCGTGTCACAAAAGTAGATTCTAAAAATATTTTAATTAAATGTACTTCTATACTTTCTACTTTTGTCCTTTTGCAGTTAGTTGGATTATACATGACTAGAGTGACTAAATTATGCTCTACCTTTGATAAAAGTAGAAAAGCAGAGTTTACAGAGGAGACAGCAAGGGATCAAAAGGAACCTGGATAGCACTGAGAATTGCTCTCATTTACATAAGGAAAGGGGGGTAGCGCCTTTGCTCAGTGGCTAGGGCGCTGGCCGTGTACACTGAGGCTGGCGGGTTTGAGCCCAGCCCTGGCCTGCTAAACAACAATGACAACTGCAACCAAAAAAATAGCCAGGCATTGTGGCAGGCACCTGAAGTCCCAGCTACTCTGGAGGCTGAGGCAAGAGCATTGCTTAAGTCCAAGAGCTGGAGGTTGCTCTGAGCTGTGACGCCACGCCACTCTACTGAGGGTGACATAATGAAACTCTGTCTAAAAAAAACAACAACATAATCATGCAGAGGAAAAATCACAAAAGATAAAGAAACTAGCTGCTCACAAAAGATAAAGAAACTAGCTGCTCATTCAGCAATAGCCATGGTCTTTCCTTATCAGTGTCAGAATGAGGAAGTGCTTGGTTCTGTCCACACAAGCCCTGACTCCTCCCAGGGTGCAAGAGAGAAGTGGTGTGGGAAAAGGTATATAGATTTTATATCTGGAGACCTGGATTCTAGTCCTACCTCTGACCCATACTAGCTGCATGATTTTTTTTTTTTTTGAGATAGTCTTGTTTTTACTGCCCTCAGTAGAGTGCTCTGGTGTCACACCTCACAGCAACATCAAACTCTTGGGTTCAAACAATTCTCTTGCCTCAGCCTCCCAAGTAACTGGGACTAAAGGCACCCACCATAACGCCTGGCTATTTTTAGAGGCAGGGCCTTGCTCTTGCTCAGGCTGATCTCAAACCTGTGAGCTCAGGCAATCCACCCGCCTCAGCCTCCCAGTAGTGGCGTGATCTCGAGTAACTTCCCTCCCCTCCTCACGGGTCCTCAGTTTTTCCTCCTCTGCAGGAAATGTCAGGGACAGTGCTGAGGATTTCCAAAGTTCCTTTTAACACTGATGTGCTGTCATTTTCCTACTGATAGGTAGGGACTGATTGTGCCACGTGAGATCATGAGACTTCTGACTTGCATGCTTCCCACCCTGATGGCCTTATCAATGCCAGATTGATTGACCATATACAGCATGTACAAATTGTAACAGGATTCAGTGACTTCCCTGCCAGGCAAGGTTCACACAGATATTCCTTGAGCCTGGTGTCTCTTGGATCCCAATTTTTCTGGCCCTGGTATTTTAAAAGTGTTCTTCTGGCTGATCGAGGTGGCTCATGCCTATAATCCCAGCACTCAGGGAGGGCCAAGGCAGGTGGATTTCGTGAGCTCAAGAGTTCGAGACCAGCCTGAGCAAGAGCAAGACCCTGTCTTTACTAAAAAAACAGATAAATTGGGCGGTGCCTGTGGCTCAAAGGAGTAGGGGACCGGCCCCATATGCCAGAGGTGGAGGGTTCCAACCCAGTCCTGGCCAAAAACAGCAAACCCTCCCCCCCTACACACAAACCAGAAAAACTAGCCTGGTGTGGTGGTGCATGCCTGTAGGCCCCGCCACTAGGGAGGCTGAGGCAAAAAGATTGCTTGAGCCCAGGAGTTTGAGGTTGCTGTGAGCAACTGCACATTACCCAGGGCGACAGAGTGAGACTCTGTCTCTCCATAAATTAAATTAAATTAAAATATTTCTCTGTGGCAACCTATGCATGGTTTGTTTTTGTTTTTTAGTTAGATGCTAAACTCTTTGGAATATCTCAGAATTCCCAAAGCAAGCTCAATACATATTGGACAGACAGAATGATCAAATCTGCTCTTCCTTTTTCAGCGTCTGCTTTTTTTGTTCTTCTCCCCTCTTGATGCTTCCTCCCTTATTATTGTTCTGTGACAATACCCTTCCAACCTCGTAGAGCTACTAGATCCCTCTTCCACAGGACAGTTTAAAAGCCCCCTATGGCTCCTAATTTATCACTAGATAAAACCTGTAATCTGACTACCCTGCAGGATTGCGGCAGCAAAATAGACTGCTCCCAATGGACTGCTTAAATGTGTGCGTTCTCCACACCCCTAGGTCCTAATGACTAGGCCTTCATATAAATCACGGCTTATACGCATCTTAACCCCTCCGCTGAGTCCCTTCTAAAGTTTTCATTGCACCAGCGTAGCGCAGTCAACGCCTTCTTGCGTCTTTCCCCTTGTGGGCCCCAGGGGGCGCTCCTGGAAACACCGACCCAAAGAGGAAGACTCAGTTGACTCAGCCCCTTTTCCTTCCGAGCCAATCGTTAGCCAGAGTGGGCGGAGCCGCGCGCCCCTTGCCCGCGCGTTAGGAGCGAGCGGTGGCAACCCAGGGGCAGAAAAATGCCGGCTCTAGGGGCGAGGTCGGAGGCGGTGGGTGTCCTGTTGCTGCTACTGCTTGTCCTCGGAGTGGCCGATTTGGCGCCTCGGGCTCGACATCCGACCCAGTCTCAGCGTCGCTACACCCCCGACTGGCCGAGCCTGGACTCGAGGCCGCTGCCGGCCTGGTACGACGAGGCCAAATTCGGGGTGTTTGTGCACTGGGGCGTGTTCTCGGTGCCAGCCTGGGGCAGCGAGTGGTTCTGGTGGCACTGGAAAGGCGAGGGGCTGGCCCCATACCAGAGCTTCATGAATGAAAACTACCCGCCTGGCTTCAGCTACGCAGACTTCGGGCCAGAGTTCACGGCGCGCTTCTATCACCCAGAGGAGTGGGCCAGCCTCTTCCAGGCGGCTGGGGCCAAGTGAGTGTCGTCTCGGGGGCGGGCGGCGGTGCCCCTGCCCGGCTAGGCTGACGGGAGCAAGAGGAGGTGAGGGGCTGGGCCCGGCTGACTTAAAGATACTCCCGGTCCAGTGGGTTTGCAAAGCCCTCGCTGTTTACATCTGTATATCCAGAGGATCGAATAAGGCGATACCCAATGTCCCTTCTAGGTCGACAAAATGAATCAGGACTCCAGGATTTTTATCAGTGGTATGGCGTCTGGTCTGAGTTCAACTGCGAACTTGGACAGTGCCTACAGAAAGAGATCGTATTAGTTCCTTTCAAGTCTCATGTCTCTAAGATGAAAAGGAAAGGCGTTCTGGTAAGCTGGGTGTTTGGGCAACTGTACAGATTCTCATTCATCTGCCCTGCTTGGTGCCTTGCATATACAAAGTGCCCAAGAAAGTGTGAATTTTTTCTTTTTTTACACCCTCGGTAGAGTGCTCTGGTGTCATAGCTCACAGCAACCTCAAACTCTTGGGCTCAAAGCGATTCCCTTGCCTCAGCCCTCCTGTGTAGCTGGGACTACGGCTGCCTGCCGCAATGCCCAGCTACTTTTAGACACCGGTCTCTCTTGCTGGGGCTGGTCTTGAACTCCTGAGCTCAAGCTATTCACTGCCTCAGCCTCCCAGAGTATGAATCGTTTTGGGAACTGTTGGAGGTTGTGAGTAGTTGGTCAGAAAACTGAAAGAGTGGAGAGTGCTGGGGCAGGGACCAGGTGAGAGATTGGAAGGTAGGGTCCTAAACCAAAGGAGTGAGCCTTAAGCATTGAGGGCTTTATGTTGTCAAGTGTTAAGTCAGGGTATGGTTACTCTCAGCTTCTAGAACAGTGGTTCTCAATCTTCCTAATGCCACGACCCTTTACAGTTCCTCATGTTGTGGGGACCCCCAACCATAAAATTATTTTTGTTGCCACTTCATAACTGTAATTTTGCTACTGTTATGAATCGTAATGTAAATATCTGATATGCAGGATGGTGTTAGGCGACTCCTGTGAAAGGGTCATTCGACCCCCCCAGTGGGGTCTCGACCCACAGGTTTAGAACTGCTGTTCTAGAAGGAGTCATATGGCTGCTTGGAGAAGGTTAAGAATGGAAGCAGGGACTGGGCGCAGTGGCTCACACCAGTAATTCTTGGGAGGCTGAGGCTGGTGGATTGCTTGAGCTCACGGGTTCCAGACCAGCCTGAGCCAGAGCGAGACCTCATCTCTAAATATAGCTGGGCGTTGTGGCAGGCACCTGTAGTCCCAGAGCGGGAGGCTGAGGCAAGAGAATCACGTAAGCCCAGGAGTTTGAGGTTGCTGTGAGCTATGATACCACCACACTCTACCAAGGGTGACAAAGTGAGACTCTAAAAACGGAAGCAAGGGCTTGGCGCCTATAGCTCAACCGGCTAAGGCGCCAGCCACGTACACCTAAGGTGGCGGGTTCAAATCCCCAGCCCAGACCTGCCAAACAACGACAGCTGCAACCAAAAAATAGC